TAGGATGATCCTTAGGAATGAATGAACGAGGAATAGTTGATTCTTAGGGTAGATCCTTAAGATTAAAGAAGATAATGAGGATGGGTAATTAGGTTGATTGTTTGATCGTTTAAACATAATAATTATATTATTGTGGGTTGAAAAACCCTATGTACTCACCAGGTTTCCCAACCTGACCCACTCAGTTTATTTATATCACAAGTGTTGATATGAAGTCGCATTACACTGAGAGATTAAAGAGATGTAGATCACTAGTGTAAATAAATGTAAGTTCTGTTTATGCTTATGTTTATGTATTGACGATGACATCCCAAACGTTTTAAAATGAATAAAATACGTTTCTTCGAAAATATTTTGATAGCGTATTTATCGTATTTTTCTGGGAACAAATTCCGCAACATTTTTATGAAAAGAAGTACTCTGATTTTTATAAACCATAAACAAAATCGGTCTTTTCTGGCTGTGAAAATGAGGATGTCACAGCCGGTTGGGAGGACATAGCACATGATTCACGAGTTCTAAAAGAAGTTGTATTTCCGGTTTTCCAGTTCCTCCACCAAGTTTGTAATATATATATTTTTTAACTTTGGTTATTAAATACTTTATCTATTTTTTATATAACAATTGAATAGTTCACGTTATAGACAAATATTACCTTTGTGATGTCGCATACACCAACACTCGTGGATTTATGGCTCCCTGCCGCAATACGAAGTATTGGTTAGCCTATTTCCGAAGACATCGTGCATTAACTAAGGAGGAAAAGTTCAACCATGCTCACACACAACTCAGAAATGTTCTTGAGTGCGTTTATGGAGTTTTGAATGCCAGATTCCTAATCCTAAAGCAAATGGCTCCTTATCCTTTTCCAATACAGAGAGACATAGTGTTTGCTTGTTTTGCAGTCCATAATTTTATAAGGAAGTGTAATATTCGTGATCAATTATTTATGGACTTTGAAGAAGACACTATGTTTACTGCTGAAGTAGAAGGTAGAGGAAGTGATGACCAAAACATACACGACATTCAGTGGGGTAACCAAGACACTGAATATATGGTTAATTTGCATAACCAGATTGTGAATCGATTAATTTAAAGTTGTATGCTTAGGATTATGTTTAATTTGGATGTTGTATGATGTTTAATTTCGGTGTATGAATTTTAATTTGGATTTTGTTCTATTTTTAATTTGGATTTTATATGACATTTTGTATTTTATTTATAATTACTTACAAATTCAATATCATTCAACACAATCATTCGGATGTCCAACCAAACAGTAACAAATAGTTCAGAGGGTTAAAATGGTCATTTTTACCATTCAAAGAAAGACATTCAATGTTTAACCAAACAAAAGCCTCTATATCATACAACCATCTACATTATCCATATATGAATAATAAAGATGCTAACAAACATCCACTTACTCTCATATAATAAAGTTTTTTATTTCTATAACTTGTGTTTTGATGTGAAATTTATTCTCATATCATTGGAGAAGATCCATTGACATTCAATCCATCGCCAGTTTTAGTAGTAATTGGCATCACATATTTGTATCCTTATTACCCATTTCTCAATAATTTATCGTCATTTGAAAAAAATACAGTTCTTTTGTATGGTGGGCTCATTATGCGTGTCGGGCGAGTAATATTTTTTAATTAAATTTCATTAATGGAACGTAGTAATAATAAAAGGGATATTTCTATTAACAGACATTTTTTAGGGGAAAATGTCAAAAAATAGACACAACAATTAAATTTCTAGGTATAGACGTGGATTTCGCAGAGGTAAACTTCAAAGGTTACGCGGAATCAACTTAGGTGTTGTTTGTTTTTTTTTAAACAAAAATCCGTAAAGTCTGCAGACAATATCTGCAGTAGAAGAGGTGGACCAAACGGGTGTAGACCATAATAAGAAACGTATTTGTTTTTTTTAATATCTGCATGCTGCTGCAGATATTTAAAATTTAAAATAAATTGATTTTATAATTCGAAAATAGTTTTTTAATACCGAAAATTTAATAATGTATGCCATTTCGGGAAGAATTTATGATATTTCAGTAAAAAATAATGATATTTTAACAAAAAAAATAAATATGTTTAAGCATAAAATAATGATATTTATTATTCAATATAAAAAAGGAAAAAAATCAATAAGAATAAAAAAAATATATATATATGAAATAAGATTTCAGCAATATATAATCAATATTGTAACAAGAAAAAAAAGGTAAGAATAAGCAAAAGAAGTGTCCCGTCCCGTCAAGAAGAACAAACGGAAAATTTAATAATGTGCTTAACAACACATTAATCACCTTAATCTCGTTGCAAAATAAATAAATAAATAAATAAAAAATAATAATAATTCTGAGTATATTGTGCTCTTGGATTTCCTGATTAAGCCCATGGCCATATAACGCGATTGACTTGGTGTAAAATAGTCAACTAAGACAATTCGTCAAACACCTGGCGTGTGAAATTTCCAGTGTATACGATCAATATTACCAATTAATTCACGAAAGGGACAACAGATACATCAAATTCCTTAGATCTGGTAATCAGCGAATGAATCGGAGGATTTAAGGACCGAAGAATCAACACATCGCTTCAATCCAATAGCCGAACGAGAGTCGATACCACTGACAGTGGTGGTAGTTTCTGATTTCTTTGAAGTTTGTTGGTGGGGGGTTTTGTGATTCTCGAAAAAGTCTTTTAGACATTGCTAATTAGTATTTCGTTTTATTTTGGGGATTGGTTGAATGTATGAGAAAGAAGAAGAATCTGAATCAGGGATGGGTGGAGAGATCTCGAATCTACTTCGGCCGCGGTCCTTTGTTATCTTATTGATCGGTTTAATTTTCGTCTTCCTCGCGTTCTCATCGTTCTCTCAACAGGTAATGCTCACTGGCATTTGTTAGAATTAACTTGGATTTGGATCTATTAATAAATTTAAAATGGATTCAAAGGGTTTACTCTGACATCTCGACTTAGATGAAGCAGCATTTTGTTTAAGGCATCTAAGAAAAGAATTAGGTGCAGTTGTAATGATACACTTTGTGAGTTAACTATTAACTATGAACTAAATACGTGAGGTCTTGTTAATGCGTACTATCTAATGTGATTAATGCTGGCCACTGATATGAATTAGGATTTAGGGCAGAGATTAACAGAGTTGGGGGATTTGTGATTAGGGTAATGGTTAATCTTGGATTTCTTTTTAGTAGATAAAACAAAGGGTTCATAGGTATTTACCTTGTTTATGATTACTATCAAAATCCAATGCGATTAACACCTGATTTTCTTCTAATCTGTTGGTTATAACCTGATTTGTGTTTAGGAGGAAGATACAGTGGAAGAGGTCCACGAAATCACCCACAGAACATTTCTGGATGTTGATATTGATAAGCAACGATTAGGTAACGATTCCCATTGTGATTAATATACAAATGTCAACTGCACTTTAGGTTCTTGAATCTTGACAAATTTTATGAATTTAATTTTTTCCATGTAAAATCTATCCCCAACTCACCCAATTTACCTTACAACTACAGGAAGAATTGTCATAGGGTTGTATGGTGAAGTTGTACCAAAAACTGTTGGTAGGCTTTCAATACTTTTTTATTATTAAACAGGGGACTAAATGTATTTATCACTTGATCTTCATCTAATTAATAAATAACCGCTTCTTTTTCTTTTATACAGAAAATTTCCGCGCTCTATGCACAGGTAACCTCTGCTCCCAGTAGTTTACAATTTAAACTAGAAAATAGAAATTTCAGTTCATATGGAGCTGAATCCAAATTCCTTTTACAATTAGGGGAATTTGGCAAGGGTAAAAGTGGAAAACCACTCCACTATAAAGGAACACCTTTTCATCGTATCATACCTGGATTCATGATCCAAGGTGGAGATACGGTTTATGGCAATGGGAGAGGAAACGAATCCATCTATGGAGGAGTCTTTCGCGATGAAAATTTTAAAATCAAGCACTCACAACCAGGTTTTTTATTACATAATTATTTTATTCTAAAATTGGATGTTTAACATATTATTTTCTTCTAAAACTATAACATTCTCGCAGGTATGATTGCCATGGTCAATTCCGGACCAGATTCTAACGGCGCACAATTCTTTATCACTACCGTTAAGACATACTGGTAAGTCCTGTCTTATTGACATCAGTCTCAGTTCCATGTACCCAAACGTTATACAGTCTGTTATGCCATGTCATGTGTGTGGAATTTACAATTTACAGGTTGGATGGGGAACATGTTGTGTTTGGAAAAGTTATAGAAGGGATGGATACAGTGTATGCAATCGAAGGGGGAGCAGGTACTTACAGTGGGAAACCAAGAAAAAAAGTGGTTATTGCGGATTCAGGTGAAATCCTAAAGACCGAGTGGGATGTTGTATTACAAAGCACAACGGCTGAATCATAGCATCGATATAATTAGCTAGATTTTACAGTTTGAGTATTATACTTTGGGATGCTAGTTTGATAATACATTTATTTGTACCTATTTTACTTTGAGAAAAAGCTTGATATTTTTTATTTTTCTATTTTTCATGCTTTTTTGAAAATTTCATGTTTTTGCCATTTTCATGTGCTTGATAAGATAAAGACTTTATTTAACTATTTAAGTAAACGTATTTTATGGTACCACCGAATTAAAAAGTACAATAGATTGTGATCAAGTTTCGAATATATTTATTATTTAAAATATTTGATACAAATCTGTATGTTGGTGGGTCAAACGTCGAAATTGAGAGGACAGGAGTATATAAACAAGATCCAATCGGACGCATCTACATGTGATCCATGTGGTCAACATGCAAAGCATATCTTTCTTCATCGCAAACCCTAATCAACATCAGTTTCATTAACATTCGATTCGCTTTTTGTGTTTTGGAAACCTTTTGAATTCAGTCCATCAAGATTGACTACTTCAACAGAGCTTTTAGTTAGTAGAAATTGTGTATTCTAATTTTATTGATGCCATGGCCAGCTCCGACGACTCCGCCGCCACCGGTAAGTCCTCCGAAGTTACTGACACTCCATCTAAACCTCTTTTATCTTCCTACATCGATGAATTCAACCAGCTCCACCATTCGCCACCACCCTCCGAATCGGACCCATCGTCGTCATCTCACTATCCGACGAATATCACTTATAACCACCAATCCCCTCGCCCCATCAAAGACATCACTTTCCTCATCCTTTTCCTCCTTTTCGTCATCTCCACTTTCGCCTTCGGTATCTTTGCTTCGATCAATAAAAACCCTAATTCTTCCTCCGTTTCTGCTTTTTCTTATGATATCAGTTCCGATTCTTGCATAAAACGCCGTAGCAGCTCAGTTATCGGGGATAGAGATTTGTTTCTTAATTTATTCCGGTCTGATTCTGATTATATCTTGAAGAATTTGATACTCACACTTGTAATTACTTTGATCTTAAGCATACCCATCTCTTTGTTTGTACTATTTTCACTCAAACATTACGCCAAACAGTTGGTGTACGTTTCACTTCCCTTTTTCGTAATAGTCCCTGTCTTCCTAGACTTCTATTGGTTTATCACCTGTACCATTAATCCCACCTGTAGCCAAGATTTCCCTTTAGCTTACAGAATCCTAGTGCTGGTGTTTGTTCTTTTAATAATCGGGGTGATTGTGTGGATCTTCGTGGTCAATTGGAGTAGAATCGAGTTGACTGTGAACATAATCAGGGTATCATCCGGCGCTTTGTCCAACAACTTAGGGCTGTTCCTCGTTCTTCCCGCATTGATCCTTGGGTTGCTCGTTTACTATGTCCCAATCGTAGTGTTCATGATCTTTGCAAGGTTAAACGGCGAAATTGTTCCTAGGGAAAAACAAGGGAAAGTTTTCTGCGTGTGGAAACAAGATAGTTGGGTTCCAGCTTACTTTGCATTGGCGATTCTTACGATGTTATGGTCTGCAACTGCAATGGTGGAAGCACAAGTTTATGTAATCAGCGGAACCATCGCTCAGTGGTACTTCACAAAAGACGATTCAAAGGCCAAAAAACCCATACGAAGCTCCCTGAGGTATTTCTTCCCCCAAATCTTCCAACTTTCTTAGTTTCTGTGAAGATCGTAGCTTGATTATATCTCTACATACTTGTTCAGAAACGCATTTGGCCCATCATTCGGAACTATATGTTTCTCTGGATTATTAATCGGTATTGTTCGAATCGTGCGAGCTGCTGTTGATACTGCAGCAAATGAAGACGCGAGTGACATGGTTAACCTAATTCTACGATGCTTTGTCAACGCCTTACTTTCAGCCTTCGAATTTCTCAACAAATTCACCATAAATTTTTCCGCCATAACTGGTGAAGCTTACTGTTCATCTGCTAGGTTAACATATGAACTTCTAAGACGCAATCTTCTCTCAGCTGTTATCGTACAGACTATTTCCACTCGTTTGTTGGCTGCAATCATCTTTGTTCTGTCAGCAATCTATGCAATTGTGGTTAGTAATCTAAAATCTTCATCATTTAATACAGTTTTATTTACAGTTTTTACAGTTTTACAGATTTACCCCTCTTTTGGTTTTAAACGAGTACTGGGTATGTAGGTTTGTGTGATATTAAATGCGGCAAGTGGGCTAGGGGTAGATTCGTACTTTATAGCTGCAATGGCGTTTTTGGTGTTGCTAGTGGTTCTTGGGTTTTTGGTGAATGTGCTGGATAATGTGATAGATACGGTTTATATATGCTATGCGATTGATAGAGATAAAGGGGAGGTGTGTAAGCAGGAAGTTCATGAGATTTATGTTCATCTGCCGATTAATAGGAATCATAATCCGGCGTATTTAAATGCTACAACTCCACTTCTTGTATGATTTTGGAAAATTTTGTTAAGTGTTTGTATAACTTTGATTATTTTTTGTATGTTACTGTTGTGTACCATTTTTCCTTTGAGGATTAGTTTTGGTTTAGTGGTTGATCTTTAATCGGAGGATTTTGTTGGATGTTGTACATTTTTGGATGTCGTTGTATCTTTTTCGTGGTAGGATATAAATAAATATGCTCATGGTAATCGTTTTGCAAGAGAAACACCTTTGGATTTTATAATTACTTAGATGACGTTTGGTTTTTAAAATGTTTATGATGGTTTGTAAAATGCTTTTGAAAGAAATGAAATCTGTCAAAGAATTGAATCTGTGAGAAGTTAGAATGTTTGGATGACGAGAAATGAAATAGAATTTCAATTTCATATTATATTTGGGTGGAAGAAAAAAGAATTGAAGTGATGCAAAAGGACAATTTTTTTTGTGTGTTTAATTTTACTTCGTTTTAATAGTTATATGGTGGTGGCGATGATGGTTCCGGTTATGTTGATGGTTGTGGTGGGTGGCGGTGGCGGTGACAACGATGATGCTGGTTGTGGTGGGTGGTGATAGCGGTAGCGGTGACCATAATGGTGCGATGGTAGTGGCGATTATGATGATGTCGGTGGTGGGTGGATGTGACAACCGTCAAATTTCGGTCAAGTCAAAGTCAACTAAAGTCAGCAAGTCAAACCATTTGACTCAATTTGCCCATGAGTACTAAGATTCACACTAAGAAACTTCTACATAACTTCTATTCTAGTGAGAAATCATAAAACAAAAAGTACGAACATCTAGATCTCCTTAACCTAAAACTGTAGTACGTGGCGAGCCAAACCAATAAAGCAATGATGCATACTCATCGGGAGTGTGTAAGATCCTTAAACAAGGCTTAACAGGGTTTACAAACCATGCATTGCGATGCCGGACACTCACAATTGTCACACATGGATCCTCTCTCAATCGTTTTCACTCTATCTCTCTCTATGTCAAATCTCTCCAAGAATGTCAAATCCCTCCCAAATCCCTCTAAGTATGTGAAATATCTCTAAAATATCTCTCTGTATTAGAAATCTCTCCAAGAATGTCAAATCTCTCCCAAATCCCTCTAAGTATGTGAAATCTCTCTCAAATATCTCTCTGTATTAGAAATCTCTCCAAGAATGTCAAATCTCTACCAAATCTCTCCAATTATGTGAAATCTCTCTCAAATATCTCTCTGTATGAGAAATCTCTCCAAGAATGTCAAATCTCTCCCAAATCTCTCCAAGTATGTGAAAACTCTCGCAAATATCTCTGTGTATGAGAAATCTTTCCAAGAATGTCAAATCTCTCCCAAATCTCTCCAAGTGTGAGAAATCTCTCTCAAAAGTTTCCCGTAACTTGTTGGAATCATTCGGGTCATTCCGACCCTTAACCGGGTCAAAAACGGCTTAAAACGGGGTAAAAACGAGAAAAATGGACATTAGGAACCGAAACCTCTCGAGAAGAGAGAAGCCTCTTAGGACCCGAAGGTCCTCTTAGGGACCAAGAGCAAGGAGGAGCCGAACCCTCCTGAGCCGAAGGTCCTCTCAGGGTCGAACCTCGCCCAGGAGGAACCGAACCCGAGAGCAAGGAACCGAACCCGAGAGCAAGGAACCGAAACCGAACCGAAGGTACTGTTCACTAACCGAACCGAAGGTACTGTTCACTACAGTCCGTTCGGTTCTGACTTCTCGCCTTTCATCGCCGGACCGAACCCTCGCCTCGCCTCTCACTTCCGGTTCGCGCCTTCTCGTTTCTCACCTTCTCGCCCCTTCGTTTCCCTCTGTTCGTTTCCGGCTACAAACCTCAGCATGGACCGAGTCTCGGCCTAGGGACCGAACCTCGGCCTAGGACCGAGAGGTCTCGCTGGGAACTCATTTTCTCCCGGTTTTCGCGTAGTTTTGCGTTTAAGGCCCGTTTTTAATTATTTTAACGCGGGATTTTCACCCAAAATCATATTTTAACATAATAAACCCTAAATATTCACAATTTAATCATATTTTCATAAAAATCTTTATTTAAATAATGAAAGCAAGTGGGTAAAGTACAAAGAGGTGGAGTGTTGACTTTGCTTTACCTTATGACACAAGCAACCACTCCCACACCCACTCTATGACCAGCCACACCTCCCCACCTTACCTAGGTCACATCAATGTCCTTTCCACTCAATTATCACTCTTTCCCACGTTTTTGAGAGCTGAATATTCATCCTCTCTCCTCACTTCTCTCATTTGCTCTCATTTCACAAGAAGATCAAACTCTTTCCTCTCTCACTTTCTCTCTCTAGAAATTCGAGATTCAAGGGCTGATCTTGAGTTTTTCCTCCACATTTGGTAAGCATAATCCATTCTCTTTATGATTATCTCACTTATTTCCACTCAAATCATGGATATCTTAAACAAACTCTCTCATAATTGTGTTAGATCTTCGAATCTTCAAGTGATTCTTCAAGTGTTCTTGGGTTGAACACTTCTCTTCTTCAACACTTACTACTGAAATCACTCAAGGTGAGTTCATACCCCTACATTTTCATGTTTTCTCAAGTTTTCAGGGGGGGGGGGGAATACAAGTTAAAACACTAAGAACATAACTAAATTTTCTAACAGCCTTCATCAGAAAAGTTCAACTCCATTCACGGACTGTTTTGGGCATCTTAAACATTTTTGTTTTCAAAACTGTACAAGGTGAAAATAGTTCAAGTTTTTAGCTTTAAAATGGCTACTTGCACATCTCCATACGATTTTTCTACAATTTATGGTGATTTTTACAAAACTGCCTATCATTTCAAACAACAATCCGGACCAGTCTGTGATTTTGGACTTTTTCACCCAAGTTGGAGGTCATTAAAAATCGTGATAAAAATTATGAGTAAACTAGACACGTTTTGTGAACTCTCAGAATTTACGGATCTAGTTTTCTGACTTCGTATGATTTTTCTATGATTTTTCCAAAAACAGGGCAGAATGGCTAAAGTTAGCCAACATCATGTAAATATCATAACACTTTGTATTATGTTGAGCAAAGTGTATAATCATAAGTTTTAATATTTGAATGTGTTTCCTTGTTAGTTTATCATTATGAACTGAAACTAAGACATTCATATTAAATATTATTCATTCATTTTGAACACGTATTATTTAACTATAAAAAGTATAGTTTGAATATATTTATAACACTAATACATTTCCATAAAAGAGTTCATACATATTACATACATTTTAGATAAACTATAATAGGTATAGTTTATGATACATCACTCAATGCACTCGTACAAGAAGGGTACATTCATACACGAAATATTTATATTCACACACATTTCACGTAAACTTGTTAACCTATATTGTGAGACTCTCTCTCTCTCTCCTCGTACGTCCGAGTGCGGGATATAATTCCTGGTAGTTATAATCAGAATCTCCTTGAGGGAGAACGTGATACTTGTATATAGATCTATATTGGGTTTGACACCCCACACCTTGCTGCTAGCTACAGTTGGACCTGCAGGTCTACGGGTGACAAATGTCATTTTATTTTTCGCGACATGAGAACGTCGTGGCAGGTTCACATAGTCATAGTATGATTATAGCGACTCACATAGGGATATAACAATCCATAAGTTTACGGGATTTTATTTTTAAAACCTAAACGAGTTTTATGTCGATTTAAAATCACCTTTTTATCTCTATGAGTACAGATATTACTGTAAACTTTTGGTTTTGGTAGTTACGACTACACATCATTTGAAATCACATTTATACTTTTAAGTATGGTCAATACTTGTTATTTCTCGGTCCTCTAATTTAGGACTACATATATATAAAGTATTAACGAACATGAGAACATACAGAAATTTCATTTAATTCAAACGCGTCCATGTCCATTTAAGTGCATAATATTTTCTATTAATAAGAAAGGTTACTTATACATTTTGGTCTTCAGTCACAAGACTACATTACGCAGATTTTAAAGAAAATATCGGATTTTCTGGATACATATTCTAACGCTTTTACAAGGAAAACGATTTACTTTTCCAACGAAATCTCTTATGAACTCACCAACCTTTGTGTTGACACTTTTCAAAACTACTTGTATTCTCAGGAATTCAGTGAAAACAGGAAATCAACAACGTTTTGAGGATGGGACGATAAATCGTCAAACAGTTCATTTTGTATTATAATGTAATTGATGTGAATCATGTAAACATGTGCTTTGATGTAACGTTTTCAATTATATTTGTGTCGGTTGTATTTACTTTGAGCACTATTATACTCATTGTTGTGATACTCTACATGAAGTCCTCCACCCCCGGACGTTTCCGCCATCCTTGGTTTGGGGGTGTGACAGATTGGTATCAGAGCATTGTTTATAGTGAACTCAGTATATCAAACCACATAAGATATACAAACTATAAATACATTGGGACTAAGTCTCTGATTTAAAGTTTCAAAACAACTATACTTTTAGAAATAAATAGTTTCTTATTAAAGGTATACATGCATACATACATATTAAGGTCAGCACCACTCTAGAACAAAACAAAAGTAATGATTGTTGAATATCACAGGTAAGCTCGGGGATGCATGGTCAGTCCTGGGAGTGGCATAGCCTGATCAACTATGCTGGTCCGAGGAGTGATTAGTACATGCCCAAGGATAGTTGTGATATGGCAACAAGTCTAAAACTTACCAACACTACCACAATGAGAACAATAGAATAGAACATGAGTTTAAAATACTATAGGAGTATTTTGTAATATCATAACTTATATGAAAACTAAATAGATCCTTAATAATAGGTCTATAGTCCCTAAGTGGATACTTAAGGTTACATATAACTTAGAAATTATAGACTTAGAATTTGTGGTCATTACTTTACTTCCTTTTCCTTGTTTGGATGTGGATCTAGAGTGGGATCACTTATTCAAAGGTCTATCGTATCTTGTTATATGTAATTAGTGTGCACTATGTCATTATAGAAGTAACTAATAAGGATTACCCCCTATAAGTAATTGATAATAGAGTTAGACGCATAGTACTTATCTCCTCCCCTTCTATTCTCGCAAATACGGCATAGCAAAATCCTACTTAGCGGACGACCCTTACTTTCCTAATCCGAACTCGAGGAATGGTGAATGATTATGAGAAGAATCATAAGCGGGACCGGAGGTAATCAATCCTCCATGCATAGCAAGGGTTCCGTGAACCGTTTCGACTATAACGAACCCGTGAACC